CCAAGGGGGAGCTGCAGAGCCTGTACATCCGGCCCGGGACTTTGGCGATCAGGGAGCTGCGGAAACGGAAGACCTGGCGAGGCAATGGCGCGGGACGGACTCTGGGGAGGGGCGGGGTCGGGCTAAGGGAACTTTAATAAGGACAGGGCGGATGCTGGCTTGTGGCTGGGGGCGGGAGGAAGGGGCGTGGTACCTCTATTTACAGCACTGGGAGAAAGCCACTCCCAGTGCTGACTTTGTTTCAGAGTGAATAAACTGCTCTTGAATGCACATCGTACCTGCGTCTTGGGTTATTCTCAGTCGTCAACGGACGGTCATGACAGTAATGTTATTTATATATTTTTTAATTTACTATAATTGTACTTTGCTTTCATGATTGATATAGAACCATAAATGAATAACTAATGGAGAACTTTTTCATTTTATAATTTTCCTTAAAAAATTTAAAGATAAAAACTAACACAAAGTAATAGAAAATAAGGAAGAAAAAGTGGGGGGAAGCAAAAAGTGCAAGAAAAGAAAGAAAAGATGCAAAGTGGCTTTCAATATTCTTTGCAGGAGTTATAAGTACAGTTTTCTATAAGGTTACATCGTGATACTGAGCCATAAATCACAAGTTCATTTTTTTTATGCAAAAAGTCCATAGAAGGTTTCCATTTACCAGTAAATGTAGATAATGACTTTACTCTAATCCAAAAAGTTAGTTTATCCATCTCAGCAAGATCTTTAAATTTCACCTTGCTTACACAGTGGATAGAGTTGAATTTTTCCATCTATGTACATATAGCAATTTTGTTGCAGTAATCAATGATCCATTCTAACAATTTTGCTGTTAACCAAAATGGTAGCTAAGTGAACTTGTGTGTCTGTTACAGAGGGGAGTGGAAGAGAGAGACAGACTGCGAAGATCATTGGTTGCTGCTATCTCATTCAGACAAAATTCTTTCTTATGAGGTCCTATTCCTGACCCGGTTTTTCCCTTTAATTAGTTAATTGGAACTTCCAGCTCGCTCACACTGCTACCAGAACCTGACCAGACCATAATCATTTTCACACTGAAGGCTTTTGTTGTCAAGTGCACAAAATGTGGTCATAAATGCGCATATAGGTTGGAAACCCTAACCCAATTATTACAATCATATTTGTGAATGGTCAGTAACAAAAGAAATTGTTAACCAAGAAGTGGCTGCATGCTACTGAGAAGCACTTAAAACAGTTGAACTATTCTCAGGCATAAAACTAGTATTAAGGAGATAACAACAACAACAACAACAACAACAACAACAACTTTATTGTCACTTTGAATGTACACCAATCGGCATACACCAAAATGAAATTTCATTGCATACAGCTCTCAAAGGGTCACCACCTCCGATATACACTCCTTGTTCGTGGCCAGCTCAAGTTTCAGAACGTCCATTTTAGTCTCTAGGGAGTCCCACCACATTGTTCAAACACATTAAAGCCTTCCCAATCATGTGGCCTATATCCCTTATATCCCTCCAAAACTTTTTCACCTTTGAGAGCCAATGCAGGTGCCACCATCTTAGAATCTTTTTTTTAATCAAGATGTAATTGTACATTAACATTTCTGTAGCCTTGAAAGAACTGACTGAAAGATAAAACTTTCTTCAATGCCATCCAAAGAATTTCATATTGAGCAAAGATTTTAATTAGTTACACAACTAGAACGCCCTGTTTTGATTATCAGTCAGATAGAATGTTAAATATCATAATTAAAACAATTGATGCATGACTGTTGATGCATGACTGTTAATATCTGTTTTCATAACGTTGGATACCATTTCAATATGCTAGTTTTAAAATTCACAGATTTGTGGTAGTAGACTTGCTTTTTTCAAGCACATCACTGTCTTTGCATTTGCTTCCCATGTACAGTTCCTTGTTTTGAGGTAGTAGAAGTGTTCTGAGCAAACACATAGTAAATAATGATTGCAGAGCTACTCCATCTGTTTCCTATACTTTATAGATACTACATTATTTTTTTCTTATTGTCAACTGGGTTGAATTTGTGTTGTCTGTTTCTAGAGGAAATTATTAAGGATCACTATGAGTTCTTTTACCCAACTCTATTGTCAAATTTCTGTTAGCTTGGCTCATTCCGTGTGATCCAGATTCTAAGCATGGGAGCTGTTAATACCATAACCTTTTTTTATTATTGATTTCCAATATTTCTGGCCATTGCTGCTACAACAATTTTCTTTATCCAAATAATCTCTATCTTGTTTTCACAGTTGTCTGTAACTATTTAACTATTTGGTTTTCCAAGTGGTGGCCTTTTAAATCATTCAGATTTTACATTTTCACTGATTTTCTCAACTTTCAGATCCACAGATTAATAGATGTTTTGGCATTTTTCTTAATTCTGTAGAAAAATTCACTTTCTTGCATTTTTCTAATAACCATCTTCTTCTTCCACCTTGTTTCTCTGTTTTAATATAGGATTCTAAAGTATTTAGTATTCTTCTGCTTCAAAATAGGACAAGTTTATATTCTTTATTCAGGAGTTTGCTTTAGTTAAAGAATTTTTAGTATTCATAATTCTAAACCTTTCCCTAAGACTGAATCTCTGACATCTTTACCTTTTATTTCTCTCTTTTAATTAAATGAGAGAGATTACACTATTATCAGAAACATATCAAGTCTCAAGTGTGGCATCCTATCTCCAATTTATCATCTTTAAGATTTATTTATTTAGATCAACGTTTAGGAGAGCTTCAATAATTTCACTAAATATAGCAATATCAAGTGCTGAAGCTTTGCTTTTTTTTTTAACCTGGCATTTAAAAGTGATTTATTTCACAGAAAATTGTTTCATTAAATTTACAGGCCTGGAAACAATAAGAATGGAAAAGAGCGTTCAGATCCTCAGCATCTGCGTCAAGAAAATTCTGATGCAGTATGGAACGAACTGGCATACTTTAAAAAAGAACACAAGAAGCTGTTGATTGAAAAGTGAGTCTTTTTATTTTATTTTAAAAAATACATATACATTTAGAAATGTGTGGTTGTATATGCTTATCCTCTCCTTGTAGAGTCCTGAGGGCGAAACAAAGAATTCCTTCCAGATACCTACAATTAAATCATCTTTCTCTGCCAGAAATAGGAAAGCAAAACATTAGCCTCTCCCTATGCCCCCTCCCTCCATATCCCACTCTTAAATCAGTGACAATAAGTTTGCTAGCACTAAATGAAACAGTATTGCATGAGCTAGGGATTGTGTTAATTAATGTGGCTCTCATCTGTTGGAGGTGTCGCTCTTCATTAGCCTGTATTTTACACACTGCCGTGCTTCATTTTTGGAATGAGGTGGTGAGGGGATAACCTAGCCAGCCATCCTTGTTTGATCTCCTTGATACATACGCAATGCAGAATGCCTCAGCTCTCTTGGTTCCTTGCCCTGTCCTACTAATCCCAGCTGAGCTCATTATGGTGTAGCCTTGCTGCTACTCTTGGAGCCAGAGCTGTCCAAGCTAATTACTGGTAGCAGCAAAGCCGCCTGTTAAGGGTCTGGAGTAGATCTGCTAACATGGGCCTTCAGAGTGACCTGCAAAAAGCACGGGGGAGTTGCTCTCTTTCTTGCTGTGCACAGCCTGTCCTTCGGGTTTAGTGCTGATCCCTTTCACAGCTCTTTTAGCTGTGGTAAGGGTAAAACTTGGTGAAGGAATTCTTACTTTAGAAAACATCCAGTTTGCTTCTTTGATCTTATAATTCATAGACGATTATATTCACCCTGGTAAAATAAGAAGCTTCCCTTTCATACTAGACGAAAGGAAGTTGGTTGGCATTGCATAATTAGCCTTTTAATGATGTTTTAAAATGTCCTTTGTCAAGTTGATTTTGTAATTTAGCAATGAGCATGCTTGAAACTCGGAACAGTTTTCTGTTCTTTTGAGACATCCCTGTAATTCTCGGGCTTGTGCCTGCATTTTTAAAGCAATCAGAATATTAGCACAACAGTGGAATTTTAAAGATTGCTCTTCATTTAGCTGTTAGAACTACCATAATAAAATAAATTTCATAACATCGTATGTTTTCCTTTTGTGTCAATTATGACAATAAGAGCTTTGTTGGAAAATATGGAGCTTTCCAGAATTGTGACCATGAATCTCAGAATTCCCAATAAACATAACTGTCTTAGGAAATTTGAAAGTTGGTCTTAAGATTTCTGGAGAGGATCATAATCTTTAGCAATGTAGCTGCTATGAGGACCCTCTCAATGGAGATTCTGAATACCTTACAATTAAAAATATAGTGCTTTTTTCAAACTTCTGAATGTCAACACTGCAATGATCTTGGCTGAAGCCATTTTTGCTTCTTTTTCGGTTGCCACAGTGCTGGGAGGGGGGATGAGTGGTTTTAAGGTTAGATTAAACAATAAATTGTCCCATGGGATCCAAGGTCATTGCTGCTTGACTTGACGGGCTGAGCTTTCCGTGAGAAAGTCCGCCAAAGTATTCTATTGGGGAACGTGGATAATTACATAGTGTTGGGGTGGGAAGTTCAACTTTGTAACATTGTAACACTTGGGAGGGAACTCCAGACTTGGTTTCACTTTTGAAAGTGCCCATACTTTATAGCCAATAAATATATTCTTTAAGGAAACCTCTTGCCTTGGAGTTCTGCTTTTACTGGTCTCATCTATCGGAACCATGACACTGAAATTATATTTGCTCAATAAATACATAATAATTTCGACCACAAAATCATGCTATGGCAGTCAATATGGATATTCTATTCTGGCAATATGTTTTGGACCATACATTATGCTGATATTTCTTTTTGAGACCACACACAGAAACAAAGCACTGTTGAACAACACTGGATTGATTGAAATCTTGATGTTGTTGGAAGAAGCACAAGGAAGTTTATAATGAAAACTATTGTATTATTATTTGTATTAATATAACAAGGTGAAATCAAACTTGCCAGTTCTTTGGCTTGTGTTAGCACTGAATTCTTTCCAAGGATGTAGAATGTTATACTGTATTGGCATATTAAGGTAGTCCTCAACTTATGAACATAATTGAGACTTTAATCACTGCAGTTATATGCTGCACTCCTTTGGAGAAGTATTTAAAGGTCTTGATTTGCTGTATTACATGGTTATTTAGTCACCAAACATGCATATTAGGGCACTAAGCAAAGATCATGACCTTGGTTTTGGAATAATTATATACATACTTTTTACAGATATTCAGAGGAATCATTTGGACCACTGTGTTATGTTATTGTTTATAATCAGTTTGTGTGATCCTCTTGCATGAGCCGAAAAAATGATTTACTCATTCTTTGCTTCTTAACGCATCTATACTTTGAATCATTTGATGACTTTTCAATCCTGACCTTGATTGCATTAGTTTGAACAGTTTGCTTTTGAGCAACCAAAATCAAACGTTCAGTTTCTTTTTTTAATGTTCCATTTGTAAGCCATCGCCATGTTTTATCTGTATCCACTTTCCCCTGGGATATTTTGTAAAATTGAGCAAGGAATGCTTTTCCTTGCAGTATTCCAAGCGTGTTTTTATTACACTGTTTCAATATTCACATTTCGTATTCTGTATATTCAATAAATTCCAATTTTTATTGGAACATTCCAATGCTTGTTCTTGGCTGTCTTTTACATCATCAGCCCATGCATGCTTTTCTTCTTCAATGGTTTTTTTGACTTGAAGTTAATCTCTACCTTCATTTCTGTGGAGCAGGTATAATCTATCAATATCACTAGGGGGATGTAATGCATTGTAAATAATCAGGGTATTTTCCCATCCAAATCAGGGGTCTTCATACTTGGCTCTTTTATGGCTTGTGGACTTCAACTCCCAGAATTCCTCAGCCAGGGCCAAGTTTGAAGACCCCTGATCCAAACTGTCCAATTCAGCTTATGTATACATAATTCCAGTAGTGTATTGTATCACAACTATGCTGCAGATATTTATCTCTTTGATGGTATTTCCACAGTTCAATTTGTCTTAACTTCATTTATTATGGTTGGTCACACAATCATATGTTTAGGTCAGGGGTCCCCAACCTCCGGTCCGTGGACCAGTAGTGGGCCATGGCATGCCAGCAACCGGGCCGCACAAACAAGCAAAGTCCCATCCACGAGATTCAGGCACCACACAAAACTACGCACCCTTCAGTCCGTGGAAAAACCTCTCTCCACGGAACCAGTCCCTGGTGCCCAAAAGGTTGGGGACCTCTGGTTTAGATGTTTAGACTCAATTTGGTATTTTTTCTCCACCTATCTTTTTATCCACCGGTGATGATGATGATGATGATGAGTTTTTCTATCTGTCTCTCCCTCCCCCCCTTCTCAGTTTAACTGAAATCAGTGAATATACCTAATAATCCTGCCTCCTACTTTCCCACATCAACAACTCTGTGAAGTGAGAGACAGAAATTGGCCCAAAGTTACCTATCTGGCTTTCATTCGTAAGGCAGGCCTTAAGTTCAGTCTCCTATTTTCTAGATCAGCACCTTAACAACTAGCTTCAGTAATTCTAGCAGAAATTAAACTTTGGTCATTTATTCAGAGACTTTTTAAAATTGTACTATGATTAATCTGAAATAAATTCCTAATCTCTAAAATGGACACTGGTCAGTCTTCAAATTTATTTCAATTTAAAACAACTATCAACTATTACAAGTTTGATTTTAAATTTGGGCTGCAAAAATTCAGATGATAGTATTTGGATGATAGTAAAGACTAAGAGTTACTGGGTCTTTGTGATCCACAGTATTTGCTGTCTGACCTTTTGTGTAGGCCAGATTTGGTAACATTACTAGAAAGATTATATTTTCCATGAAGATTTTGAACGATTAGTGGTCACTGCTGAAAAACATAGTGAGTATATTTTTTTGATAATGCTTTGGAGATTTCAGTAGCACCTGTTAATGCGTTATCTCAGACATTTTATCCAACTTGAATTTTGATCACTATTTTGAATAGAAAAGCTGCATGATGCTAATATCTAATAAGTTTTTCAAAGATTTTTACTATCAGACATGGGTAAAAAAACTAAATGTACTGAACCTAAATTTCGGATTTCTTCCAAACGGCTTTTTGGCTGTGGAATAAAATATACTGCTCAAAAAAATAAAGGGAACATTTTACCATGGAACTGAAGGGGTTTGCGTTCCCTTTATTTTTGTGAGCAGTATATTTTAAAACTTTGAATAACAGACCAATGTGTACACTGAAAAAGAAAGTCAGTTATATCTAAATGGGATTTTATTCATGCTTTCTTTAGGCACCCAAAGTCTGGTAAATAAAGTCCATTAAATCAGGGATATATTGTATTCTTACTGTACTAATTAACAGTTCCTTCGTTGTCATCTTTGCCTTCTTTTTAACATCATTTTTGCCTTTTTTGTTATATATCTATAACAAATTTTAGACTCTAAAGCAGCAATTTAGATTTGTACTTCTAAGAACAGTATCTTAGATGCTTATTTAGGGATGTCTCGGAACTACTATCTTCAGTACTACAGCAATTATAAATAAGTTTTGCAGTGTACAGAATCCCTTCAAAACTGAAATGGCCATATCTCTGGCATATATATTCTGAAATAAGTATTAGTCTGTACTGTATTGTGCCTGTTTTGAGAAGCGCTAAGGTCAGGGAGCATTCTTAATAAAACCGCTGTGTACTTATATCCTTTTTGTAGCTACTGAGCTCTTTAAAAAGATATGTGGTTCTAATTCCCATTCCGGGGAAAATTTGCTATAAAACAAATACCTTTTATGATCGCTCAATATCATATCTCAAGATGCCATGTCCCAACATGGAGGAAGAGGAATCCTATTTTCTTTCAATAAACACACTGAAAAGTTCACATTCATAGTTCTGATTCTGAATAGATTTTTCTGTGAAATTTAAATTTTCCTCTCTTTCCCATGCTCTGTTCCTATTTGCTTGTCTGACTTGGCTCAATAATTCTCATGTAATTTATATAATATTTTCTATAGTTAATTAAAAATATTGGAAATAGCATCATTCTTTTGTGCTCGTGCCTGCACGTAAAAACAGAGAGAAAGAGAGCATCTTCTTAGTAGATTGTTATTTGAGGTGATAAATGCAAATAATATGGCCATTGTAATGTTTTTATTTGATGAATCATGCTTATATACCCAGTTATTCTCTCTCTTAAGGCCATTTTCATACTTTATACCTGCCTTAAAGCAATGCTACCTATCATAGAGCAAAGAGAAAACCAATTAATTGTGTTACCAATTACCAATTAATTGTGTAATTAATTACATATGTGATGTAATGAATGTGATGTTAAGTAACAAGATAAAAGAAATGCAAACAGTAAAAAAGTGATTGGTTTCGTTTATGAGGCCTCTTTCTTTGCCTGCAAAGGACAGGAAAGATCAGCTTACTAAATGAGAAGAGACAAAGCATTCCTTAATTATTTCTCTTCAACCATATCATGTTTCCCCCAATCACAATTCCAAGAATACGAGCAAAAAAATGTAACCATTGTTATTAAATAATTATGTCAATTCTACTGTCAAAATTAAAATTCTGCCAAAATCCTTTCTGTTGTTAACTATTGCTTTCATTTATCTCAAAGCATACATACGCCCATTTATTTAAGCATGATTTTGAAGGAAAGCTGCTACGATGAGCCTGGAATTTTAATTTGGAGGCAAATGCAATACAGAAAGGGATCTTCTGTTATTGGATCTTCTACCTAATACTCAATATGAGAAATGTTTGGGGCTGGAGAAGAAAAACTGCTGTTGCTTTGATTGTTTTTGTAATTTTGTTATGCTTTTCGTTCTTGTGG